CCTGACGCGAAGCCCTGGACTCCGGTTTCTTGAATACGGAAAAGGCAAGGATGGGTACTGGGGCTACGACCAGTTCGAAGAACAGGTCGAAGACGTGATGGACGTCTTGGAGCACATCGATCCCGACATGCAAATAGTGTTCGAGGTCGACCACTCGTCGGGCCATGGGAAGCAGCGAGAGGATGGTTTGCATGTATCGAACATGAACGTCAAGTATGGGGGGAAGCAAAAGGTGTTGCGGGATTCGGTCATGACGGAGGAGTGCTTGGGTCCGGAGGAGGCGAAAATGTATTTCGCCAACGGCAGGTGGAGCACGAAGTTCAGCGAGGGGGCAGTGTGTGTTGACCAGAAGCTGACGGTGGGCCAGACTCAGACTAGCACTTTCGCGGTAGGTGCGCCTCCTCCGTTTTTCGAATGGGATGCTCCGCGCAAAGACAAGAAGAACGCGAAGGGGAAGGTCAAGGAAGGGTACGAGGGGAAAGCGAAAGGGGTCAGGCAGTACCTGTGGGAGCGTGGGTGGTGGAAGGACGGCATGTCAACAGGGGCGGGAGTCAGTGACGATATGCACGTGGAAAAGGTTCTGCAAGCCTTGCCTGACTTTAAGAATGAGAGGACAGCCCTGCAGCACCTGGTAGAGAGTAGGGGACACATTCTTTTGTCGTCTCCGAAGTGTCACCCGGAGGTAGCGGGGGTAGGGATCGAGTACTCGTGGGGGTTCTCCAAGCAGAAGTTTCGGCGGAAGATCAATGATGAGGTCCCGAAGCACTTGCACGACAACATCGAAAAGTCGCTGTGCATAGACAAGTACTTGACAATCGGTCGGGTGCGGCGCTTTGCCCGGCGAACACGAGACTACTGCCGGGCTTACCGCGAGATTGCGCTTTGCGGGGTCNTGCACGACAACATCGAAAAGTCGCTGTGCATAGACAAGTACTTGACAATCGGTCGGGTGCGGCGCTTTGCCCGGCGAACACGAGACTACTGCCGGGCTTACCGCGAGATTGCGCTTCGCGGGGTAGTCATCAGGAACAAGGAGTTCATCGAGAAGATGCGCAAGATCCAAAAGGCCCACCGCAACATTTTGGACATGGAAACTAGTTTTCTTGGCGACCAGTAACAACGTCGGCCGGCCGATGGCGAGGGGGGAGGGTCTCGAGTTGTGTGTGCATGTTTTGTTTTATGCTGTGAGAGAAGCGGGTGTTGTGTGAGCTGTGTGTTGTCGTTGTAGATTGTAGTCGGCGGCATGTACTTGTACATTGGATTCGTTTCTGCGTAAACGGGTGTGGTGGGTGTGTGTGTTAAATGAGTCGGTTTCAAGCTGTAGTTTGCATCATTTTTTTCTGTAAGGTTAACCGGTGCGAAAAGTTGTGTGTGTGTGTTGATGAGTCTGTCAGTTTGAATGTTGTTTTTAGATAAGCGGGTGTTTTTTAACAGCTGTCAATCAACGAACGAAGTGTTTTTTATGTACAAAGAAACGTCAACTTTTGTGCGATTTGTGCAAAACATTTGTCATGCGTTTTTGGAGCGCTTACCTTCAGATTACAACCTCTTGCATGTATGTGTGTCACGTCATTACGATCGATAAGCACCCACACCTACCTGTCCAACCAAAGGGGTACAGTCAGCATCTGTGCGCCTCGTGCCATCAGGCCGCTTTCGCGCCCCTTTTCTCGGGCTGTCAGGCCTTCATTTTCCTACACAATTTCCGCCCCTGCACCCAGGTATCGAGGTCATGACGCAATTGCTATTTCCGAGCCGGTTTTTACGAATTGGAACCTGAAATTTTGATATGTGATTAGGAGTGGTCTTACAAATGCGCCCGAGTGAGATGCCGTTTTTTTTGTTTTAAGCCACAAAAACCCCTATGCTAGGATTCTCGGTTATTGAATATAGGGATACCTCGCCAAAAAAAAAAAAAAACGGCATCTGACTCGGGGGCGTTTGTAAGACTGTTTCCAATCACATAACACAATTGCAGGTTCCAATTCGTAAAAACCGGCTCGGAAATCGCTTCTAACCATTTCGT